CACCCTTTCGGGATAAGCGGGGGGGGGGGGGGGGGGGCTTTCTGAATTCTATACATAGAAAGAAATGGATATTATTTTTTGTTATTCTAATAAACGAATGACTGAAATGTAATACTAGGTAAACACCTTTATTTGACATTTTAAATATCAAAGTAAATTAGGCCTATTTGATTGTGTTTCTTGTTATTTATTGATTTAATTCTTATAAAGGCCTGTTATGCAAGACTACGTAAAAACCTAGATTAATTTTATTTTTAATTTGTTTCTATTTTGATTATTTGAATTTAAACGACATAAATTCTATTATAAACGACTGATGTGGAAGACTAGTCAACGCATCCTTTCGGCAAAACCGGGGGGGGGGGGGCTTTGGACGAATGGTCGCGTTCCAATCAACGCGACACTCCCAGCGCACCCTTACGGTACAACGGGGGGGGGGGGGGGGGCTTTGGACTTAAGGTCGCGTTCAAGTCAACCCGAAGCGACGCGACGCTACCCACCCTTTCGGCACAAGCCGAAAGGGTGGATAGGCCAATAGTGACTGATGAGGAAACGATCTAACTTTGTTTCCAAGTTTAAAATGAAAAGTCAGCCCATTGAATGCCTCTGCCTGTTGTCCAGAAACGAACTTTGATTTTTTTCAAATTCGATGCCGTGTTTGCGTGGGCGTGCCTTCTCTGTTTTTCAAGAACTTCCTCTTCACCTACCGTACAACTGCCCTTCTCTACCCCGTCTCTAACCCGTCTCTACCCCGTCTCTACCCCATCTCTATCCCCGTCTGCGCCCCCGTCGACGCCCCCGTTGATGCACCTGTCTCCTTCCCCTTAATTCTCTTCCACTTCCCCTGACATACTTCAAGAAGTTTGTTTTACAGTATCTTATATTAAAAAAAAAAAAGTTTTCTTTTGTTATGTGAGAAGCTATTTTCGTCATTGTCAGTCAGTATTTCTACAATCTGCATTATCCACAATCATTTCACTATCATTAATTATGCCTTAAATATGAACCATGGCAACAGAGTACGGAGAGGACCCACTTATTGAAGCTGCCATGGCGGTGTGGTACACCTTATAATAATTACATGTTCTCCTGATATCTATTTAGTTATTGATGAGAAAACGGAAAAGGCTTTTGTGTATCCAAAGAGTATAGAAGACAATCGAGCAATTTGTTGTATTCTGAGCCTTGAGAATTTTCCAAACGCTGTGTAACCTTGTAATAATGGAAGGCATCGAACACAACAGTCTTTGCCCTTCGATAACTAATTTAGCTGTTACAGGCTTTAAAAAATCTAATTCTATTGCTCGTCGATCTTTCCCATTGTCATAATTACGAAGAACGCTATCATCATGAATTCAATGAAATGGTTAAAAGACATGAATATCTCCTTCTCATTGAAATTATCGACTCATGTAAAGTCAACGATTTTAAGTTCTCAGTGGTTGATGTCTAAAGTGATTCAATATTCCTAAACTTTTGTGGGGTCTTGGGCTCCATTTCACAAACCTGTCATCAGTGACAAATGACAGTTTTTGTTATTAGCTAGTGAAAACCTTGCTTCTGATTGGTTAACAGCAGATTTACCACTGTTTGTTGTCATTTGTCATTGAAAAAAGGCTTTGTGAAATGGGTTCCTGATTTCATTTTTATAGAACAATCTTAAATTAATTTGAAAGACATGGAAATATCTTGTTTTCGCGAGATTATATTGCCATAAAACCAATTGTTCACTTGGAAATTACAACAACTTGAGTACATAAGTTATTTTTTGTTTATCTAAAATAGCGCATGGAATTGATGATATAGTATCTTAAATCTAGGAAATGCATGGTAGATACAGTTCTGTTGATAAACTACACTTTTTTGAGAAATGAATGTTATCCAATGTTTAATGATTCAATGAAGAACTTTTAGTTGAAGTACGGGATGCATGCGGAAAATACCCTGAAGTGTGTCAGCACGTCAAGGCATACGAGACATGCTCCTGTGACTATGGTTCCGCAGTAACTTTCCTGCTCTAGCCAAAGTCCTAATTCCACCCTAAACTAAACACTACACCGAATTCTAAATTTAAAACTAACTTGAAAGTTAAAAGCTAATTTTGAGCTTTGGTATGGGCATCATATGTGGAGAGTACATAGCTGTAATTCAATCTGGATTGTTTATCCTGCAGTAGATTGATCGAACCGAACCAAAAAATAAAAACAACCTCATAATAATTGCTGGATTCATTTTCAATAAAAACCACAACTCTCATTTGCACATATTGACATGTGTTAAGCACATGGTGTCGGCCCTACTTATTATGAAACATTTTGAAACACCAGCTACGCTTAGGTCCAAGAAAGTTCGAGTTTGACATTCTGGAAACCCTCGTGAACACTTAATCATTAGTGGTTACGTGGTGTCAGTGGGAACAAAAAGTTACTTGAAGCAATACAGGTTATTTAAAGTAATGCAAGCTATTTGAATCAATGGAAGTTATTTGAATCAATGCAAGTTATTTGAAGCAATAAATTCCAAGTTCACAGAGGTACCCATGTTTTAAATTGTAAACAGCTATTGCATACGGGCGCATTAATCATGCCAATGTCACATACCTTATTATATTTAAAATATGTTCTTGCTTAGTTGAGAATCTAAACATTTTATCGCTTGACTAGAATTTAATCACACGCAACCCCCCCCCCCCTTTATGCAGTAAATGCCAAATAATTTTGACAGTTTAGGGCCCCTTCCCAAGCGTACATTACCATTATAGATGAGGTCATGGCATAGAGTTAGATTTCCCCATAGAGTTATCGCTTGACTAGTATTTTAATCACACGCAACCCCCCTTTTTATGCAGTAAATGCCAAATAATTTGACAGTTTGGGCCCCTTCCCAAGCGTACATTACCATTATAGATGAGGTCATGGCATAGAGTTAGATTTCCCCATAGAGTTATTATTAGGTAGTTATCGGAAATTAAAATTTGATATCCTAGTCCCCATTCTCTTTTGGATTACAATACCACCATTCATCTTTCACGAAACGTGCAGGCAATTTCTAGCTTTTATCGAGCGATCGTGAGCAATCAATATTACTTCTTTCTACTCGAGATTTTCTATCGTAAGATGGCTTGTAGATATTCATTATGTAAGGCCTAAATGGCCGTTAAACTTCGTGATTCTCTCTCTCTATCTCTCTCTCTTTCTCTCTCTCTCTCTCTCTCTCTCTCTCTCACTCACTTTCTGACCACTCCAAAGGAGGAGGGAGGGGGAGGGGAGGGGGGGGGGGGGCTTGTGCACAGCATGCATCCTCCAATAATGTTGCCTTCACTATTAAAATTGTGATGAATGACTTATTCACTTTATCATCCAAGATAAATTTCACGAATAGCTTTTCAGATAGATTTAACAATTATTCATTAAATTATATATTACTTACCAGTCATTATAAGATTACCTTTACAAGTACAAATACAAGCGTTCCCAAATCTAGATTTTCTATCAAAAATCAGATCAGAAATCTATCAGAAATAGATTTGGGAAACGTTTACACCTGCATCTCTCTTTTCTTGTACAGATACTGCATCTCACCATTAAGTCATTTTGATGGTACTTAAAAAACTTTACCATAGAAACATATATCAAAATATTTATGAATGCTATTGGTCAACTGACGCGATGCGGGATCCCGCTTTGTTGGAGTATTTATACAGAACCAGAACCAGAACCAGAACCAGAATTGACAACTTCATGATGGAGATTTATAAGTAAATCAAACAGTCATTTCCCAATATTTGTTTATATTTGCTATCAAACCGATTGATACAGCCATAAAAATATCATTTTAAAGTCTTTTTTCAGATAAAAACAACATCAAACCAAACTGAAAAAAAAAGAAAAAAAATAGTGGACGAAAAGTAGTACACATCTAAACAATTTAGGCCAGCATTATTTTTTGTTAAAACGTGCACTAAAGCGTTTTTTTAAAAATCTGCTTACATTTTCAGCTCGCTTTCAACTTTTCTGAGAACATTCTTTTAGTGCAATAACAAAAAATAAAGATCCAATATGTTTGTTTTTGACGATTTTCGATTGCCCAATTATCGTCGCTTTCGATTTATAATAAAAGAATCAAACGAAAATTGAAAATATCAAAAATACATTTAAAAACTTGGATGATGAAATCCAAAATAATTGACGGATGCATTATCTTTAAATATATATTAACACGAAAGCAATCTAGTGCATGTGACACGAAGACCCTGTAGCTTATTAGAGTTACACTTAGTTGTACATATATTTTCCCTCTATAAGAGTGTCAAATTCACCTAATACTGTCTATAAAGTCAATAATAAGATCAATCAATTTCCGTAACAAACGATTATTTGTTCATGATCTGATATACAATTTTCCAATCAAATTTAAGTTGACTTTTAAGTTTCATGGGTCTGACGTTTTGACATTTAACAAACCAAGTAAAGATGACTGTTTTTGTATAAAACATCGCAGAAACTGACGGTATATGGACCAGCTATGACTATCAAAAGCAATTTTACTTTTAAGTAATATCACTCACTTATCTACTTCTAAGGCCTTAATTCGTGCATTTTAAGAATCAAATTCCTATATGTTTTTTCATCCTTAATACTATCTGTTCTTTCTTTGCGTAATGAATTCACACCTTGATTATTTAAGTTTTAAACTTAAATAATCAAGGAATAATCAAAAATTAAATTAATTTTTCTTCTTCATACTTGTTTTTTAAAATCTCTCTACATTTCTGTCCCCTCTTCATGTCTCTCTGCCTCTCTATCCCTCTCTCTGCTCGCTCTCCTCTTTCTTTCTCTCTTCCGTTTTCTCTCCATCCCCATCTTGGTAAAGATGTTTATAAAATACACACTAACATTTCTCTTTAAGGAAAAATATAACTATGCATTTCAGAATCAATTTGTAGAACGCATTTTTATCCACAGATATCTAACAAGAGTAAATCGAGTACATTAACTCACCCTAATGACATTCACAGCCATCCTTCTCGTTAATCGATGATGGTGAGGGCTAAATGAGGTTAGCTTTACAGGTATTCGAAATAGGTATCGACTTGCTTTTCGAAGCTTTGTAGAAAATCCCACCAAATATGATACATTAATAAGAGGCTAAAACTCGACGGTGAAAACCGAGCGGTTATTATGAGAGCAAAATGCTGAGAGATGCAACAGGTTTCAGACACCAACCCGACGCGATGAGAATCAAGAGAGTGCGGGGTGCGGGCCCTCCTTGCGCATGCTCCGTGTCTACTATGCATAACGCATGCAGTAGTTGCCATAGAAACGGACGCAGTGAGAGCGGAGGAGGATGGAAGAAACAATGGGATGATGCGAACAATAGTACTGAGGGTACTATCACGGAAAGAGGAGGAATATAATTCGTGCTACCAAGACTAACATCACCGACCCCGCGAACAGCCAATAGACACGTATCTGTGTCTTCTAATGTTATTAGTTTCTAACGCGGGGAAACCGACTTCTATTCCTTATCCAATACTGGGTTTTCATTCTATTTTTGAATTCATATTTCCATTGTTAAATGCATATTTTGTAGTTTGTAGTCAGGCATCAGCAAGATTGGGAAGAAAGTAATATCAAAGGATAGTGGAATCGACCGTTCAAAATAAGAATGTAGAAGTAGAGATAAAGAAGGGAACCGAAAGAGGGGAAAACTAGTACGAGAGAGAGAGAGAGAGAGAGAGGGAGGGGCAAAGGGAGGTAGGGAATGAGAGAAAAAACGAGAGCGAGAAAGAGAGAGAGAGAGAGAGAGAGGGGGCAGGGAGGGAAGGAGGGAGGGAGAGAGAGAAAGAAGAGACAATGAGAGAGAGAGAGAGAGAGAGAGGGAGAAAGAAAGAAAAAGAGAGAGAGATATATATATAATATATATAATATATATATATAGAGAGAGAGAGAGTAAGAGAGAGAGGTGATGCAGTATAATGTAAAGAAACCCTGCCATCCAACTTTTTTTTATATTGATATGGTCCATTTTCATTTGTCTACTCGGTTGAATGGACGAGCAATGACATCAAGCATTTCGTTTCAATTATTTATACCGAACGATTATTTTGCGAAAAGAATATCGTTACCATAACAATCAAGGACTCCAATTTCATTTTAACCATCCATGAGTTGAATGGTGAGGCACACGTTACTAATTGTAAGAGATTCTCCTTTGCCCATACAATGTATTATTGCTTCTAAATCAACAAGATCAAGGAGTTATGACATCCCCGATTTCGAAGAATTTCGGAATATCTATAAGTAATGTATTTCAATCAAAGATGCAAATTATGTTAATATGGTTTTCCCATTAATCTACACATATTTGTTTAATGCTAATTCCGTCTTGTTCATTTATGATATATATACTACTACTAATACTAATAATAATGATAAATTAATATTGATAACAATAATTAGCGAATAGGAATCCTACATGAGGAATGACGAAGAAATGAAGAGATGCACTAAAGTACAAATATAGTAAAATACAAAAGACACATTTCCTAATACATGTACTCCCGTCTCACTAGATGACGATTCTGTTGCGATTCCCCAAAATCGACGAAGCTTCGTGGGTCGTGGCTCAATCTTTTCAAAGCGCATCACAATCGACTCAAGAACATATACAAAACTACATTTTTATAACTCTAACGTGGCAGCAGCGCCTAAAGCGTATTACGTATACCTTGATCGCCTTGACATTGGGCGAGAAATTGGCAGCATCGTACTATCATCGTATATATCGTATCGCCTTCATCGCAGGTACATCGCAGCAAAACTGTTCAAATAATAGCCTCACAGGCCAAAAATTGAGTTGGAGGAAGATTCTGCCATGCTTAAGGAAATTTTACGAATTGCCATGGTCGCCATGAGCGCTTTTCTAGTACAATGGCGCTATAACCGACTTTAATCTATATCAATGTATAATTCAATTCGACAAAAAGGCTTGTCAACTGCATAGTGCAAAGGCAAATTGTAATCAAGATAATTATATTTATCTTTTTGTTCAGTGTCTACTTCTATTTGTTTCTCTCTTAACATTGGAGGGGTTTACAATCTACAAGTTCTTGAACTTAGTTCCAATCCTATACTGCATTGAACGTCAGCTTCATCCAAGCTCACGCACACGCCCACGCACACGCTCACGCACACGCACATATACAGACTCATCCACATATTTCCACAACTGTAACTAATATCCAATAAATTAAGATGACAATCGCTTAGAACAGATGTATTTTAATCAGAAGTGCGTGGCACATGTATGCTGTTATTTTTCTTCATAATGCTACATGATTGTACTATAAATTTAGGAATGAATAATCCAACATTACAGACGCTTTTAGATTGTAATTGAGTACACATACATATACATGTAAAAGAAGAACGACTGAAAATTCATCATGTGTTCTGGTAATAAGGGAAAATGAAATTCTAACATAATCAAACGGAAACATACGCACTGAACCTTCAACACTACATGTAAATAACATGAATTTTTTGCATCTGCACAGCCAATACATTTTACTAATAGAACTTGTAAAGATTATGTAGCATATAATTTGAAAAATACAAAAAATAATGTTTTAACGAAAACATCAGTAATCTCGTTGTCCAAATACATATATAAATTTGTATCTTTACATGGTTTTTAAAACGTTTTTCTGCTTTCACATTTTGAATAGTTTTGACTAGTACATATGGAATATACTGAACGCTAACAACCAAACCATAATACAATTCAATTTAAGCCATTGGCAAGAACAAAATAATTATATATATTGAATTGAATGTAAGAGTCTCATAACTTCATATTTTCATCTAATCAATTATTTGCAAAATGAAAAGCCTGAAACACACAGGGTTGGGGGCTATGTTAGACAGAGAACAATATGTTTTTTTTCTGGGGCTTTTGTTTGGAGTCATATTGATTATCTGCCAACGATTTTCCACATGAAGGAAAATCAAAATGAGCTTGACATGCTTCAAATACCTTTTGAAACATCATTGTTCCGGTAGTATTATACTAATGCCTTATTTTTTTCTTCAAAATTCCATACCTTGTACTAAGTTTTTCTGTAGTACATAATAATCATGTTTGTGTAAGTTTGCCTTTTATGTATCAAAATAAGTACATACTTGGAAATATCCTCCTTCATTTTAAATACATGATATCTGTATGATTTTTTTGTTATGGAAATATACGTGAGGGTCTATTCAATTGGATGGCACAAACATTATTGAAATATCCTCCTTCATTTTGTTTCACGACTGCAAATGTAAGGTCAAATATCAACTGATGGTGTCAACAAATTATTGATAGTTAACAGAGCAACTGCAATATTGATGCCTGATATGCACTTTGCTTCAGTACAATACTGAAATTTTGGGGGCGATTCTCTTAATAATTTCGGAGGTTTTTTCAAAGTATGTATTTTTTGTATACGCAGTGTATAATGGTTAGGTCAAACAGGAAAAAGGACGAATTTTGAAGCAGTAACAACCAGAGCTATATCAAGCGTGAATGAAGGCCTAAACTGTTATTCAAAATAAAGTTGAGTTCAGGGCCCCGTCTTTCTTTTGGAAAAGGCTCATCTTGTATCACATAAGCATTTTCGTATAAAATGAGGATTAGGAATTAATATCAAAATAATAAGACATTGGCCCAGTCCTTGTAAAAGTTACATGAACTTTACACATAAATGAGTTTACAGGACTACACAAACATGTAGCATGAATTTGTTTTCCACACCTTTTACATATTACTTGTAATTTTACAAATATAAGGGAATTTGAAGAGCCATCCTTTACAGGGGACATATAAAAATACTCTTCCACTTTTAGATAAATACACTGAAAAGGCTCACGACTTACGTTCAACTTTCAAACAACTCAACGAATGAATAACTTGTAATCCTGTATTATTTCCAAACTTTCCGCCGAGGAAAAAGATTCCATAACTCTCCTTCCTTTTCCTGTTCCTCTTCTTGCTCCTGCAAGCTCTCCAGGAGTCCAATGGCTTCTATTGGTAAATCAATATTATATCAGCATGAAGTATTGTTTTAAGTTAAGGAACATAAGCTAACACTTTTAATTTATCCAACATAACAAACAAAGAAGGGTTATGAGATCGTGCAACCGATTCTGAAATCTTAATATAGTTATAGGCTGAAGTTGATCTCAGACATCATGACATATATTGATAATTGTTATTGCCTGAAATCATTTGAGAGCAGATTACGCGTTGCATTCTTCAGAACAATCTTATACTTCTTAATGTAAATCAGAGTATATTGTCAAACAACTTTGTAAAAGTCGGTACACAAAGGAGGCAGATATTCTACCTTATAATGAAACAAACACCTAACACATTCTATCAACCTAATCCTAATAAAAAAAATCAAACAAATGTTAAACTGTTATTAAAATTTGACACTGTTATGTTTCTACATGATATCTACAAATACATTATATTATCATCTACAATTGATAAAACACGATTGAATATATATATACACTTTTTTTGTAAACAATTATCGTTATAATTGGATCTTTTAAAATGAAAAGAGGATACTCAAATTGAAATAAAGTGGGGTGCAAAGGAAACGAAATGAACAGGCATATAAGGTGTATTTAATTCAATTCAGTCATTATCAGGTCGATATTTTGATAATCTTTTGTAAAATATTATGATAGAATGCCCTTCAGGAACATTATTTTATCAACAAATGTTCGACATGCTTAATAGTAAGAAACGCACTGGCAGCGATGAGGATTATTTTGATGTGTACCGCAGTGCATCCAAGAAATGTGTTTTGACATTTCATTGATGCGTTCAGATTGCTTTTAATAAATGCTACCAGGGCCATCTTGCATTAATCAAACGCAAATCCTAAAAATTAAACGCAGCTTTGATTGCAAACGATTAATGCTATATAATGAACATCATTTTATTGCTATGATACAACCTCGAACATGTCGAATTTATATGTAACTGTGATTGATTCAAAGTTTGAAATGAGTGAAAATAATTTAATCACCCGACCCTTATTTCTGCAAAATCGATGATCATGAAATATAACTGAACGTGCACAAATATATATATAGATACTGCTAACAAGATTAACGATGTCTATGCTAGTTGCTTCATGTGCACCTCCCCAAAAATACTATTACATCCCCGCAAACATGAATGAAATAGTTATTTAAAAAAGTTAAGAATGGTTGGAGACACCATAGAGGATTAAAAGAAAGAGATGCGATGAAATTGGCAACAATAGTCAAATAACTGAGTCCAATTTCCCTAAATATACACGGACACCTATTCTGATTATATACATGTTTTTATAAAAGAATTGATAATGGGTATGAAAAACAAAACTTAAAAGTTCCTTGTTGTTTACTGGTAGATGATATTCTATGAAACCGTACAATCATCAAACTTTTCTTTCACGCCATCAAAAAAGTCATCTAGCATATCCTTTTCTTTCTCTTCTCCCTCTTTCTCCTTTTCTTTCTGCGCTTGGCCGTCCAAAGAGTCAACAGGAGATGCTGATCTGGGTGAGTCTCCGAGAGGAGCTCCTGCAAGCTCTCCAGGAGTAGGCTGTTTCCCTGAACGACCAGGTTGAGATCTTGGTTGCACTAGTGCTCCTGTAGAGGGCCCAGGACGAAGTCCAGAAGAAGATATCAATGGACCCCTATCATCCACACTATCTTCATCTGAGGTCGAATACGTTCTCCTGTTCTGCAAAGCTCTCTGCAATTCACTGTCCAGATTTTCATTATAAGCCGGTGCTCTCTTGTTCGATCTCGGAGGCGATAGAGAATTTGGTTGATTCTGCTTATCTGAATTCAACCGGGATCTCCTCGTGTCTACGTTGTCTTCGTCCGTGGAGGGGTTCGCATTAAGATGTGTAGCAGGTAAGAGTTTGGGCGTCGGTCGTGGTACGGCTCGGGCTGCTTTTGGTGGAAGAACCCTGACTGCGTTTGGAGATATCAAAGGTTTCGGAGCAACAGGTGGTGGTGATTTAGGGATACTGGTAGGAAGCGGTTGAACTGGGTTGACTGATACTGGCGGTGGTGCTTCCACATTTGATGGGAATCGCCTGATTGGTTTGGATGGGGATGGAGCTATTGGTACAATGTGTACAGGTGATTCTTCTACTGGTGATTCAGGCGATTGATTAAGGATGATAGGTCCTGCTACTGGAGAGAACGAGCGAGGACTAGTGGTCTGGAGTGAAGATAAAGAAAATAAAAGAATGATTGTCCATTTAGTACAATTATGCAGATCAACCTGGAATAAGGAAATATATCTCAAACTTATTATTCAATCTTCTAATGAAAGTAACTCAGAAAACACAAACATTTTCCGGAGTGTGAAAAAGTAGCATGTTTAAAGGCTTTCGAACGTCCTCAGGACGATTTATGGACTTCCTGAGAATGATTTCTGATTGTTTGCTTCCCTTGGAATATAATACATTCATTAACGATGATAACAAAGTAATTTTATCAAACACTTAATTCCCTTGCACGCTCAACACTTGCAGGTATCAATTAAGTCATTGTATAAAGACAAATACAAAGTTGGACTGACAGATTCCGGTCGCTATCCAAGCCTGCAGGGAAATACTGAATATAAACATACAGTGGAAAGGGGACAAGTGCTATATCTAGCACTGTACCGCTACAAAAAGCTTCGTCAGGAGTTTTTCTTAAGAAAAAGGAGGCCTGGCAGCGGTTAATACCTCAGTAGGTCCAATGGCTGCTGGCCTATTTGAAGTGGACAAAGCGGAAGGATTACGAGCAACTGGTCGAGCAACTGGTTGAGCAACAGCCGATACAGCGGAAGGATTACGACCAACTGGTCGCGTTGGTACAGCAGAAGGATTACGACCAACTGGTCGCGTTGATACAGCGGAAGGATTACGACCAACTGGTCGCGTTGATACAGTAGAAGGATTCCGGGATACTGGTCGACCGGCAGTTGAGATAGCGGAAGGGTTACGGGCAACGGTACGAACACTAGAAGATACCGCGGAAGGGTTGCGGGTAACAGGTCTGTCAAGGTTAGTACCTGATGGTGGTGGATTTCCAGAAGGGCCTGCAGGAGTGCGTCGGGTTGGTCTGGGCGTCGAAGCGGCTGAGGATTGTGGTGATGATGCTGTTTGGGCTAGTACGACCAGTGGTTTAGCAGCGGTTCTCTGACGATCACGAGGAGGTTGAAACGCACTGCGGTCACGATGTTGGGTGTTCTCTGGTAGTCTATCAACGTTTCTCGCAATTCCGGCTCCTGGAGAATAAGCAAGACACATCATGTGACAACTACAGGACAGATATACATTTGTTATTAATAACGAAAGTGTAGAAATACTGGACTTCCTTTTCGTTAACACGTTATTTAGGACCCGAAATTATTTCACTTCGAGCATGAAATTATACGCTACATGTACTACGTGAAGGAAAACAAAACCCGCTGAATTTGACACTTCTTTATAAATTGACATCATTATCGTGACCATGGATGATGATACAACTTTCAACCACTACAATATTATACATAATAGCGAATTTATGGACAAATACATCGGTATTTAGCACAAAATGACCCCTTTTTCATGCTATCGATTTGTTGGGTAGGTGGACAGTTCTCATTTGTCGTCATATTAGTATGACGTTCATTTACTTATTAATTAATATTGTAGGGCCTACTTGGTTCTTGATTGGTTACCATAGAAACATACCAATAGAAGGACCAGGTGGAACAGTGACTCGATGCGATGAAGGCGTCCTGTCCTGTGTAGCACTGCTAAAGGCAGGTAGTGAATCCGTGTAGGCATTGTTTTCATACTCTCCAGAATCTTTGTAACTAGGTTTGTAACCGCTGTGCCGGGAACTTTGTCTATTCAGAAAGGCTTCGTGGTGCTGGCGGGGAGACACTGTTGCTGTTTTATTGGGCAATAATCTCGGATCCGATCGCTTATTTTTCCGTTTACTGTTAAGACAATCAAATAATAATAATGATGATGATGATAATGATAATAATATCAATAATAATAATGATAATAATAATAAGAAGGGAATAATATAAGATTTGCTAGTCGTCGCCAAATTCCATTGGAAAGAAAGGTAAAGGCACAGAATATACAAAATTACTAAAGAGTTGATTTCATTTTACAAGAAGCAATAAAGATTATTTACCATCGACCATCGAGTATTACTTTAGGATTTACTTTATGCAGAATGTAAAGGTAAAGGTCAATGTTCCCTTCCAAAATCTACTTAATTATTCGTTTCCTTCCCATCATTAAATCGTATTACCTTTGAGAAGTAGTGACCAGTCTGATATGGATTATTTAGAATATGTAAAGGTGCACAAATTGTGATCATTATCAGTCATTCTTTTATTATAGTCGTGATCTAACATGTAAGTAAAATATACGTAAGCATATGATTTATTCTGACGGATAACATTTTCAACAAAAGCATCATAGATGAACTAAATATATAACCCGGATATCATTCCATTTTAAGTCCGTGATGATTTCAATACCAACCAGTTCAAATATCAATCAAAGGTAGAATACTCTATTGACGATCAAACATAGACTACTTGTATTGAGCTTCAAACGACACTCGGCATATAATATAAGATAATGCAAATTCGAATCTAGATTGGCTAAGTAACTCTACCAATTAACTATAAGTATGGTATGTTGTAAAGAATTGTATTACCTTCTGAATATAATGAGCCAAGCAATGAACACAAGAATAACAACGACGCATACAATGAGAATAGTAACCCAAGCCCACGTAGGGAATCCACCTCCTCCATCGTCTTTTAAATAAGAAAAGAAAAGAAAAATTGCATGTCTGGAATCAAATTTCTATACCGGAGATTATCTGTATTCTATAGAAGTTATTATAGGTATATGAGTTTCCGTTAAATAAAAGAACGTAGCGCCCTCAGCAGTACGGTTTGTTTCATTTTTCAACATAACCATTATTTCAATAACAACGAGGTTGTGTATCAAATAAAACTTAAACAGTCCATGATAACCCATTGCGGACTACTTGTGTTATCATGACTATGGAACCTGTATTAATAAGGATGATCAGCAAAAAAATAAAAGATAAATGAAGATTAACCCTTAAAAAGAGCAAAAAAAAAAAAAAAAAGGATAGTTAATTTTGCCTCAAACGACACGAATGTATTTGCTTGTCTCTAAATAAATGTACCATTGAAAAACGTACGCATAAACAAATTTCGCTCATTGTGAATAAATATCTACAAAGGATTACAGATTGTCCTAGACATTGTAGCTGGAAAAGATCTCATTAATTGACATTGATTCCCAAAGTCAGAATCAATTCAGAGGTAGAAACATACAACTTAAATTATACGTCGAATATTTTCAAATACAGACTTTAAGGGCAATGCATATCTTTAAAATAAACCATTTATCATTTTACCGTGCGCGTTAAACATGTTAACTACAGCTGGACTTACCAATATTTCCTGTATTAGTTCCTATTGTGAAAACAAAACAAAAAAACCGTTATAAAGCCTACTTCATAAAACATATTTATAGATATCAAATGTTTATGGACGAACTATTACAGTAGCATTGGACGATAAAACATACTGTTCTGGGTTAGAAGAGAAATTAAATGTTGTTACTGATCCAGGCTCTAAACAAATAGAGGAGGGGCTCGTTCACCATCCTGATTTCAGTCATATATTTGATTGGAAAATACAACATTCATGATATTGTAAAGTGACATCGCATTAAATGAAGCAAAAAACACACTGACATTGGCTAATTACAGCTTTACTGTACAAAGTAAATCACCTCCTGTACATTTTAGGAGACTGGTGTCCATGTTTGGATATACCACTTTGGATTTTAAAGTTTCCTGGTAGCCACAACCTAATAGTGGTATGAATGGATTCTTTGACCCCCAAACCTAGGTGTGCACACCCAAATAACATCTCTAAGATCGATATATCTTGGTTTATTGCTATTTTATTGTATTAAGGGCCATCTTTGACGCCATTTCTAAAAACTAACGCTTTCTGGGTTCTGAGTTTCTTAGATTTTTAGCATGTGGTTCGTGGTGTCAAACACTACCGAAACCGTTGAAAAACATTTTATTGCAATTTCTGTGTGTGTCAAACCCTATACTGACCTGACTTATTTATAAAACTATATATTGAGTTGTGTGCACCACAAATTTCTCATTTTACATGAGTTCGGAATGTTTTGTTACTTTTGTTTTTGTAATAGTCTAGTGATACATATCATCATTGAGCAGCAGCGAATCAATTTGATTGGCATATTTGGGACTCTTATTACAGGGACCGCTGGTTTGACCAGGTGTCAACAATCATCTAAAGTAGCTGCTGAATGGAATTGCATAATAAACAATTTATTAAAAAGTATATGCCATTTGTATTGTCGATAATATGCTTAAGGTGATTTTAACTGACATATACTATGAGACATGTTTCATTTCATTTCATTTCATTTATTTATTTAAGCACGGAGGCCTACCTCAGCCCGCGGACTGTTCTTCCGTAGGGCCGTGCATATACATAAAAACATACAATATCAAAATAACAAATATACAACATAATTCAACATAATAATAATAACATAAATATATACAAAACAAATATAACATACACTAAAAATACATATGAAATATTTAAAGGGGACGGGGATTACTCATTGAGGGCTAATGTATATAAGAGAGAGATGCTTACCATTGCCTCCAGGAGTTGGTGGTTGCACTATAAAGGAAAACAATAGACGATCGATCAATACGTACAGTTGACCATCAGTTTTTGCACATGGTTCTGATTTTATAGACCAAACGAACTATTACACGAAAATTAATACTGTTGGCAAGGTATTGAGTAAAATGATTAGTTTTAGCCAGTTAAAAATATTAGTGCCCAGAACCATCCTTCGTTAATTCATAGAAGGATAATTGTGAATATCTGTGAAATAACGGATTATACCATTTGGGGGGGGGGGGGGGGTCAGTTTTGTAATAACATCTTACTTAGAAATAGGTACCATGGTTACCTATCATGGTTACAGGTACCATCGAATTGTCAGTAAACCCGTCATCTTTAAAATTGATACAACGATGACATAAATTCGTTCATGTATTATTTCTTCTAAGAAGCTTGATATCCCTTTTCCCGTATTGAGGTTTATGCAAGGACTCGGTCAAGCACCTAAAGCTAATTAATGCATCAGACTAAGTGTCATTATCATAAAGGTAAAATACATTATGAGCACCTTCAGGTTTTCCCAAGTTAGATGCGACAAAGGATGTTCACTATTCTCAATATTAACAAGCTGGTTTTTCTTCAGGTAGAGCAATGCATTTAACAAATGGCGCTGCATAATTCAGAGTACTTTGTAACATACTATGTTTCAAATTCACGAGATTTCCCTATAAATCAAATGAATGCGTTCCATCAAAAAGTTGTTCTGTTTGAGAACAGCTTTAAAACCTACCGTCTGCGAATTGGCAATCCTTGCCTGTATATCTGGATGTACAGATACAGGTATAGTTACCCTCAGTATTCTGACATCTACCGCCATTCTGGCACGGACTCGTACTCGATGGCACACATTCATCTATATCTATAATAACATTCGGAAGTAAAACACATTGCAAATAATATAAGATAAATATTAGATAGAGAGTTTTAGATTGAATCGAATAGATAGATGAAAGAATTTCAAATATTTCTTTTATTTTTTATAAAACTACTTTCTTCCATTATTTAATTTTCATTGTTTAACTTTTTGTTCGGTGTATTGAAATAACATTGATGAGAACCTGACATGAAATCAAACAGATCTGTTCACTAATGTTTATCAATTTATGCACTTTTCTCTCCTTAACACCTGGTTACCAAACATTTCTCTCACGTGCTATGAAGAATAATTGCATCTCTACGGATCGGATGTATAAATTAGTTGTTGCTATGTCAGGAAATACTTGGAAAAGCTTTTTAGTTGTCAAAATAGACTGTTCTTAAAAAAAGTATACATAAAGCCAGTAAACAGCTTTATTGCCACCCTAATCTTATACCTTCGACGAGAAAATGTCCCCAGAGGAAATGTGGGAGCAACCCGAGTGATGACTAACCTTCACAAACTGGATCCACGCCGATCCATGTCTGTGGATCTGTACATGTTTTAACCATGGTCTCATTGTTTCCAAGCCTTCGTCCTGAGCTACATGTAAATGTTACTCTGGTTCCTAATGCAGTCTCGTCTGCTGGACTCGGTGATGCATTGGGATATGTGTTTATAATATTACAGTCACTTTCATCTGCAGGCATGGTAGGAATAAGAAAGGCAATCAATATTCATATTAAAGAGTCGGAATGTGAAATGATTTACGAAGGCAACAATAAAACCAAGTAAGACATTTATAGCACAAATCACAACTGAAAACTATTGTTAGTTGTAAATAGAGCAATATTCTAATTTACTATGTCTAGGGGAATTTCTAATTTCGTTTTAGTTTTTTCTTTCTTATGTTTGTTACATGTATTTTTTCTCTAAGCGCCATGAGCACTGAAAAGTGGGCCTGTGCGCTATACAAGTAGCCACTATTATTATTAAATCGATTGACCACTACGTTTAAGAGGTCAAAAACCAACCCTTAACCGAAGAAACGAGAAACAAAACAATAGAAATTATTTAAATAGAAAGTTGATACCATTAATGTTTAGGCTGGTCAAGAATAAATCCAAGATAATCATCGAGTCATCCTAGTGTGTGCGTCATAATGTGATTATGAAATGATAAATCTTTGGTAAATGATTAATGTACAATGCTCCCAAACCCGCCCGATGAATGAATTTTGTATGCATTTCATGAACTAGCGATCCATTTGTTTATTGTAAGCACACATTACTATCAAACGTAAGCCAGGGAATAATTCGATCAACTTAAAATCACTTAGCTATTTTTATATAACACCTAGGCCCTTCTTAATTTATGTGTAGCTATTCGTTTACTAACGTGTCTAGAAGTCCCCTAGAAGTATCCTGGGAAAGTATTCTTCATATGGGTTTTCAGAATCAAGATTTAAAAAAAAAACGGTCTTAAGAAAAGACTTGGTAGTCAGATAGTCCAATCGTTTTTTTTTTAAATTTTCTTTCAATATGCGATGCAGCTTTTAACAGCTAACAGAAATCCAGAGATGACATGTTATCATAAATATTACTTAATGATTACCTCTACACAGTGGTGCTTCACCGATCCATGTAGCGTCTCCACTACATGTTAAAAATGCTTGTTCTTCGGAATTGCGAACATCACGGTAATTCTCAACACAAGTAAAAGTTACAACAGTGTCATACGCCCTCTCTGTTGTACTTGGGACAGCATTTGGGTAGTCAGTGTCAATAAGCAGAGGACAGACAACTCCTAGTGATTATTGAAACGATTCATAAGATGAGAAATTTTAGTAAACGTTCTAATTTGATAATTAGAATAGACAAGAAGTACTTAAAGAAAAGGTTGAGTTCTGAGAAGAGGTGAACATTAATTTTTGAGCATTATCAATGTTATTATGCATGTGTGGAAGGACATCTGATAAAAAATGTTCCCGGAAAAGCATGGCTCTTCAAATGTCTTAATATATTAAATATGGCATGTAACATACATATCAGGACGGATTGCTTGTAACTTTACAAAAACTGAGCCAATTTTTTTTCTGTCCAACCTTTTTTGGTCGATTCACACCCCTTCTTTCACAAGGCAATCGCATGACCGGAACTCAACTTTATCTTTAAATGAGGGGCTTGATTAGTAGTAGTGCAGTTTGATCAATATATTGGGTTAGGGAGGGGGGGGGGGGGGTTGTAATATAATGAGTGCTGAACACAATTATGATATTTACGATGCTAGAAACATAGGCAGTTGCATTACTACCAGTACCACTCATCAATACGTCTGTTTCCCTCTCAATCTCTTTCTCTCTCTGTTCCTCACACAAACAAACAAACACGCACACATACACGCTCGCTCTCTCTCTCTCTCTCTCTCTCTCTCTCTCTCTCAATTAGTCCCTGTCTTTCTCTTAGGGCGTGTTTTTGCTTCACTTTTTCTAGCCAGAATCAGGCATCTGTTACGCGTTTAGTTTAAAACACGGTTGCGTCCATGCTCACTTTTGTAGAATCACCGAAAAACGGCGATCACGATCGCCGATCGTAAACTCACAAAAAGATGCGTTTACAATTTGTAAACGCGTTTAAATGGGGTCAACGCACTGACCTCTAGTGGGTCTACGTAGCATGCACAGTGAAGGTTTGCGAATCCAGCTGGAAGACCAATTAAGGCCACACATGGAGAATTGCCTGGAGGAGCCTGAGAAGTGAGCATGAACAGTACACCGTGGAACTGCGATTACGATGAGCGTTTACGATGAGCGTTACAAATCGCTCATTCTGCCTTCAAAAGTGAAGCATAAACACGCCCTTACTCCATCACTCTAGATC